CATTTAATTTTCCATGAATATGTGTAGATTTGCATGTAGTTGTGTATATAGGAATCTGAGGTTATAGATTTGTGGCCTACCTTTCATATGATGATAGACTAGAAGACTGCCTTCCGTATGCTAATACAAGCTTAGAGTGGTGGCTCCATTCCTTAGGTGAGTTACTTAAGATGAATTACTGTCTAGCATCCACTCTGCCCCACTGTATCTCACATCCTGTGACTAAATCTCTCTCTCTCTTTCTCTTCCTCCCTCTCTTCCTTTCTCTTTTTCTCTCTCCCTCAGATTTAAAAAGTAAAAACAAGGGGCATCTGGGTGGCTCAGTCAGTTAAGCGTCTGACTTCAGCTCAGATCATGATCTCACAGTTTGTGAGTTCAGGTCCTGTGTCGGGCTCTGTGCTGACAGTTTAGAGCCTCGAGCCTGTTTCAGATTCTGTGTCTCCCACTCTCTCTACCCCTCCCCAGCTCACATTCTGTCTCTCTGTCTCTAAATAATAAATAAATGTTTAAAAAAATTATTTTAAGTAAAAACAAGCCAAACCAAAATCAAAACCTTGATTCCCAAGCACATGATGTTTTGAATTGTTAACCTTTTTCTCACTCTCTTGATAAACAAATACATAGATAAATGCAAATATATACTATATGTATATTATGTAAAACTAAATGCAATTTTACCCACAAAAAGGCAATTATATGGAGTTTGAGCATAATGTAAATGTTTACATTGTAGTTGTGTAGTTAAATCATATGTCTGAAATCAGTCTTTGTCTCTCCTTCAATAACTATAAAGGATGCTTTTCCAACTAGAAAAGCATTTTTGCTGACACATCTAACTGTATTTTTAACATACACCTTTTTTCTGAGACTATTTTTTCTACTTTCTATCATCCTTCAATCTAAATCCTACTCATATCCTTAAGCCCAGTTCCAAGTCCATATCTGCCAATAAGTCTTTGATGGCCCAATCCCTCACTAATTTTCCAGTCCTCTGTTCTCACATAGTATTCACAAGTAGTATCATATACTGTACTGCTCAATTTTATGCAATTTTCCATTGTTCATTGTTTTCTCTGCCCAGAACTATGATTGCAAACTGACAATAGAGGTCCATCTTTTACAAATAAATAATCTTGTATCTCCAAGAGCATTTAACACTATTGCTGATTACTTTTTTATTAGTAAACTAGGTTGACAGCAAAAATTAATAAATAAATATCCCCTTTTGTAGGGGAAGCAATTCACTTAATTGAAGCCCTTTGACTCCATTAAACATAATTTTATTCTACTCCTCTTGCTATATTGTGGCTCATTGCGGTTTGGAATGTCAATATCTTGAATGCTAATATCTAGGTCACATAACATTTCATGAAGAAAAAGCCATCTAATCAATTTTCAAACAACACTGTCAGAGATAAATTTACTTATGTTTTTAAATGTTTATTTATTTTGAGAGAGAGAATGAGCAGGGGAGGGGCAGAGAGAGGGAGAGAGAGAATCGCAAGCAGACTCTCCTTTGTCAGCCAAGAGCCAGATGCAGGGCTCAATCTCAGGAACCAAACCATGAACTGATGACCTGAGCTGAAACCAAGAATCAGACACTCAACTGAATGAATCACTCGGGAGCCCCTATATTCACTCATTTTTAAAGCTTTTTTAAATTGTAAAATAAAAGGCAGATACAGAAAAACGACATGCAACAAATATATAGCTTAATGATTTATCATTAATTGAACTTGAACTGTTTCTTTGCTCTATTCCTGCAAAGTGGCGTTTGAATCTAGAGGTTTGATCAGACTAAGTAGATTCCATCCTTTGGCAAGACTCTAGAGGGAGTTTTTTGTTTGTTTTTTTTTTATTCAGAGATATGTAATGCCTAGATATCTGTATTTTATCTTAGCCATCATGAATACTTAATGCCCAGATCCTTTTGCTCAGTAGGGCTCCAAAATAGTAATATTTGAATTGTGTTTTTACTTGTTAGTGGGAATAATATTATATGTGGATGTACTTCCCCTCACATGCTGTGTGGCTACACAGTCATAGAGTTTATTTAAGAAATACATAATATTTAACTCTTTAGCTAATTTTCAAGATAACAATTTCATTCTCTGTCAACCTCAGAGGTCACCAACTTTTATTATTTATTATTTATTTATTTTTAAAGTTTATTTATGTATATGAGAGCGAGTGTGAGAAAGAAGGGGAGACACAGAAAAGAGAAAGAGAAAGAGAAAGAGAGAATCCCAAGCAAGCTCTGTAACTGTCAGCACAGAGCCCATCAGGGGGCTCAAACTCATGACTGTGAGATCATGACTAGAACCAAAACCAAGAGTCAAATGCTTAACCAACCGAGGCACCCTCTTTTGTTATTTTTTAAATATCTTTATGAATTCATACATTCATATGTATTTCCTGGGTTTCAATGCATTGCAACTCTTACCTTTATTGAAGCTCAGATTGTCTTCATCTTTGGTCTGTAAGAACCTCTTCAGTTTGATTCTGAATCCATTTGACATGAGCTTTATTAGTCTTTGATTGTTTCCCTTCTATCTGGTTACATCAAGATGTTTCAGGTTCAGTTGATATGCATCCTACCTCAGCTCAGGAAGCAACCAGTTTTTCAAGAACCCCTTGTTTCTTGAAGTGCAAAAAAAATTTCTTTTTTCAAAATACCAATCTTGACATTAAGGGTGCTAATAAGCACCCCATTGACACTAACTCTAGACTTCTTCAGTGGATAGAACTACAACAGAGAGAAAAAGCCTTTTGAGTTTAAACTGAGTTTTTCCAATTAAATTTTAGGAACATGAGACTTTATATACCTCTTGTACATCAGTGTGTCTGTCCTTTCATCAACACCAATTTTCTGGTTCTCAAGGACACACGGGATGATAGGATTATAATTTCTCATGAGTACTCATTTTTTAATCCAATATTATATTAGTCTCAGAATAACAAGAATAATGGTATCACCATCAACAATAATTATCAAAACATTTATTTTTATATATAGTACCCCTATTCTCTCTTATTTTTGACATACGATTATAGAATAGTACCATGTCAGAACATGTAACCATTACAGAAATAAAATATTCCCCTTTTAACTCTCATGTAGTCTTAGTTCCTAGCATTTGTTGTTCACCAGTTAACTATTGGGTTGCTGTCTCCCCTGGTCATTTAGGATGTCTAAAGCTCATTCTCTAGTAGCTCTCAAGGTCAAGGAAGCAGCATTCCTTGGTTGCTTATGTGTTGATATCAGCTTGGCTGTGCCCTCATATTTAAAGTTAACTTTTACTAACTATAAAATCCTTGAATTACATTTTCTTACCTTGAATATCTCAAATAAATTACTTCAATTGCCTCTGGCAGAAAATGGGGCTGTCCAAAAGTCTGATTAGAATTTAATTGTCCCGTTTATAGGTCATGTGTTCTTTCTGTCCATATGCCTGAAAGATTTCTTTTAACTCCCCTAACATTTCTTGAATTCCACTCTTTTGTATTTGTTCTGTTGTCTTTCTTTGGTTTTCCTTTACCATCAGTTAGTTAGAATTTCTTTCTCTTCTGCTCATCACTCTCCCCTGAATTCTATTTTACTCTCTCTTAATTTCTTTTTGTTTTATGTTTGTTTTTCCTTGAGTTTTTTTTGTTCATCTAGTCATCCTTTATTTTGAAAATTATGTTTTTACTTTCCTATTCTTTTTTGAGCTATGCCACCTCATTTCTGAGATTTTTTTCTAATTCTATTTTATGTTACTCTTGCATATCTGGCATTTAATTTTTTTAATGTGGTTTAGCTCATTTTGAAATAGTCAGTCGCAGGTTTGATCTATGTTCCCTCTGTATTTTCAATCCCAGTTTTGGGATTTTTGTCTAGGGAAATGGCACTCTCTGCATTTTATTTTGGAAGGCATTTAACCTCAGCAGATTTTTTTTGCTTGCTTTCTTTCATGTGACCTGTCTCCCTGTGTTCCCAGATGTTTAATTCACTTTTCTAAATACACACAGCTCCTTCTCTTGTTGCCTTCATTAGACCAGAGCTCAGGACTCTGCAAGGTGTAGCCTATGGGCCACATCTGGCCCAGGTCCTATTTTTGTTTGGACCCCACTGAACTAACAATGGTTTTTACATTTTTGAAAGGTCGTAAACAAACTAACAAATGCAGGTGAAAAAAATGAAAGAGACAATGTGGTCTGCAAAGCTAAATATTTGCTATCTGGGCCCCTTATGAGACAAGTTGGCCAGCCCCTGATACATATTGAAAACTATCTGGAAACTTGCTTTCTAACTTTTCATGATTATTTCTATCTCCTACTTTTACTGGACTTTCTCTTCTCTTCATTTCTTTTGCTTCTGTCTATTCAAATTTTAACTCTGTACCCAGTAGAAGTCCTGTCCTAGAGAGGAGATTTTCCAGGATAGTTTGGAGTATTTATGTTTACTATCCTCAGATTGGTCTGCTGCATTTTCTAAAGTCCTAAGTCTGGTGGTGGTTTGTCCATCTCCAGTTGTATTTCAGAGCTTGAGAGTATAGCTCATCACCTACTTCTGCTGTAATTATCCAAATGTCTTTGGTTTTCTATCTAGTCATTCAGTCTCTCTTTTTTAATATTTATTTATTTTAGATGGGTGGGGGGACAGAGAGAGGGAGAAACAGAATCCAAAGCAGGCTCCAGGCTCTGAGCTGTCAACACAGAGCCCCACGCAAGGCTCCAGCTTGTGAACCATGAGATCATGACCTGAGCAGAAATCAGATGCTTAATTGACTGAGCCACCCGGGTACCCCCATTCAGTCTCTTTCTATGTGGAGACTCAGGAAGATCAAAAACTGTATTGTCACCACTACCACCTAGTTCCCAGAAGCAAACTCACGCATTTTTAAGCAACAATTTACTTAATAGATCATATTCAATCTTATTGTGGTAAAACTTTTACCCTGGATATTTCAGTACACTAAATAAATCAACATGTTCCTTTTCTTTCTGTTTCTCTTCAGAGTCCAGTTCCCATTACGTCATCTCTCTAAAAGCTTTTAACAATGCAGGAGAAGGAGTTCCTCTTTATGAAAGTGCCACCACCAGATCTCTAACAGGTAAGCTAAAGTAGTTAATCCTCTCGTGATGAGGTACTCAGTGTTTGAGTTGTCGTGGCAAACACAAAACCAAATGCCTAAAGCAAAATAAAACAAAATACAGTGAACAAAACCAAAATCTATGTAGTCATGTTCTGAGCCTTATGAGTGTGTGTGTGTGTGTGTGTGTGTGTGTGTGTGTGCATGTGTGTGTGTGTGTTTGGATATACATATATATACATATACACACATATTTCATTATGTTTTTGGTTTTCAAAATTGAGAGGAAGTCAGTCTATAAATTAGTGTGTAGACTTCGAGAATAGGGATCTCTCCTTCTCTGTCTTCTCCAAGTAGCTCATAGTTTAGTGCCCAAATACCACTCTTCATTCTGATCTTGTCTCATCCTGCAGATCGATGCAATTTAGGCAGGAAAGTTTCCACATAAAAGCTGCCAAATGCCCAGATGGCCACAGGCTTCTCTACAGAGGCTCCTTCAAGCTAATGTGATAAACAAGGATTGACCTCCTGGGATTGGTTTGGACTAGGACTAGGCTTAGTCACACAGGTGGCCTTTCCCTGAACCAAGAACTACAGGTCACCCTAACAGTGCCCAGAGAATCATGACATTGAAAGTACTTGCTGCTTCCAAAGTTTAACACCTCTAGGAATTCTTATGTGAACTGGAGTGTAAAGGCAGCACAAAAGAGAAAAAGAGCCCAAGGAACTCAGAAAGGAGTGAGATCAAAGACATTTATGGAGGCGATTTGCAGAATAAGGCTAGGCTTACTCAAAAATAGAATATATACAAGGCATTTATTCAAAAATAGAATAAATACAAGGCATTTATTCAAAAATAGAATAAATACAAGGTGGCTCAGTGGGTTAAGTGCCCAACTCTTGATCTCAGCTCAGGTCTTGATATCAGGGTTGTAAGTTCAAGCCCCACATTGGGCTCCATGTTGGCCATGATGTCTACTGTAAAAAAAAAAATAGAATAAGTACCTCTTCTGGGGGGGGGGCTGTTCAGAGTCGCTAAAAAGTTACACAATCACCCCCAATAGCCTTATGTCTAAAATCTGAAGGTAAAACCCAAGAGGTCTATCTTTTTAATGAATACTTGGATTCTGCCCCCTCTCAAAACTCACAATCCTCAGACCTCATTTAACTTATCATTTTCTTTCACCTTAATGAGAATAAGTGATCTGAGAGCAGGGTTTCATAGTAAGAACTAGAGGACATGGAAAATTACTAGGTATCTCCTGACAAGGAGGAATAAATCAACATAGAATAAAGAGTGGGATCGTTTGCTACCCCCTAAATTTATATAAACTTTGTACAGTTTGTTTTCCAAACTCAAAAGCTCCATTTGTAGACTATCTTAATACACAGCTGTAAAATGAATTCACTTGATGGTTGCAGAATATACCATCACTTTACCGAGTTCATCCAGACTTTCCTGTAAGGCAAAGTTGTTGGTCCATAGTCCCTTGGATCTTTGGCTGCTATTTTCAAGGTCTATGATCTGCTTCACATGATATGCAAAATTTGGGGTATGTGTCAATATATTCATTTGTCTATGGAGACAGTATAGATCTCTCATTGTGTTAGCAAAGGGACTCATGTCTCTCTAGGAGGGCACATAAGAAGTATTACCTTAGAGAATCTTTACTATCAAACATACAATCTCTAAACACAGAGAGATGAGGCAGATGGAAGTCCAGAATGGAAGCATAGCCTGACGGAGGTATCTAGAACTTTCATTTCCCCTTATGTTCTTATCTGCCAGCAGCAGGATTCTTTGGGAAACAGCAGCCTACTTTAGCTGTGCTTCTCCTTTCCATAATATTTTAGTCCACCATCTTTTTCCTGCCTATGGTAAAAGATGTTGAGCAACAGCTCATCAACATGACCTTGACCTTGTAGTCAGGCCACACAGATTATACAATTGCTAGTCTTTTCAAACTATTTTCTTATCAAAACTAAAGCCCACAAAGAAGGGACACTTAGGTGACCCTCTCTAAAAATCAATGTTTGAGTAGGAAGTAGTAGTCATAAAAATAGAGTTTAAATAAACTGAAGATAAGCTGCTCAGAAAAAACCATTTGGGATGTTAACTTCTGCCTTCACATTTATTGTCATTCTTTGATCCTCAGCATATGGCATTCCCAGAGTGGTTTCTAAAACACCAGTGATCCATAAGACTATTTTTTTCCTGATAAGACTCTAATCCTAATGGATCTAATAGGATCTGGGAAATAAATGGATACCAAGACTTGGAAATTGTGTGAGGCATTTTCTAAATGAAACAAAGTCAGTAAGGGGCTGAAGAGGAATGAATAGAACCAGTCCTTTCCAGAGAGAAAGTATACACTTTTCCTGGATGCAGCAGACTTATTTTAATGTGTTTCCCCACTTCATGGGGAACAAAGGACAAATACATGGAATCAAAGGTTAAGGCTCTGGAAGAAATTCTATCAATAAATGTATCATAATGCCACAGAGAAGACATTCTCTGTCTTCGAGCTTCCTCAAGTATTCCCATGAGCAGACTTGGAGAGGCCAGCATTAAGTAAATCAAAAATCACAGGCAATAAATGCATCAGGCTGGAGTAAGTATCAGGCCACGGTGCTTTCTACAGGTACGTGCTCTTAGATGTTGGCATACTCTGGAACCTCATCTCATCCTCAATATATTAGTCTTAGAGCTGAGGAAAGTTTCACATGGTCAAGTGGGTATGTTAAGAGTTTTACTTTTGCAGTAGAGCTTTTTATTTCTTATTGTTGCAAGAAAAAGACATTTTGAACCTGGAGAGGGGAAGAGGGCAAGGGAGTAAAAGGGTGTGTTGTTTGAAGAATTTGTTTATTCTCAACTGTTTCATCAATGTCTGAATGAAATATAATCCAGATGCAAAATTATGTTATTATTTTAAAAGCTTGCCTTGAACATTGATATGTTAACCAAAAACTCATGAACTCGTACGAAGACATCTATTAGGAACCAAATAGGCTTCTCTTTTTAGCAAAATGTTTGAGGTTATGTTTTGTCTTTTTAATTTTTGATTCATTTAGTTTTTACTCTTGAATATAACCACTGCAAATCCATAGCATATAAGGCACCTGAAAACCAGAAAAAGTTGTCTAGCAACAACAGAATATTTTTAACTTAACTACTCAAAAAGTTTCTGTCTTGAGAGAAAGATAATTAGGGGTGTATGTGGCATTTATGTGTTTAGTGCAGTGCTTGCTCTTCACTAGAACATTCTGCTTTATTGGAAAAGCTCCATATCTATACTATACAAGATGATAGATTGGCTTTTATGGCCATGGAATACTTAAAATTGACTAGTGCAACAGAAGTGATTTTTTAATTGTATTTAATTTTAATTCAAATTTAAATTGTTCATGTAATCAGTGGCTCTTGTATTTGATGGTACAAATTTCCAACTTAAAACAGATAGCAAGTAGAGTGACAAGCCATGCCCAAAAACAAATTCCCTTAAAAAAGTCAAGAAAAACTTGGCCAGATATAGAAATTCGTACATTATGTAAGTCCACAGATAAATACCAACAAACAACATTACTTGAAATTTGAGGAATGCATTCTGGAACTGAGACTCCAAGAAACTCCCCAAGTGATGAAAAATATACTCTTCTACAATCCAGAAACAGCCAGACCGAATGTCAGCATTTCTTGAAGTAGAATTGCTACTTTTCAAAACCTCATATATGACACTTATATGACACCTGTGACAGATTACTACATTCATATAGGTTTAAGAGCCAGATTAGCCAAAGAAACAATGAACCTTGTATAACACATTCTTAGGTCAGTGCACAAAGAAGTCTGTGATTCAGAGCAGTCTTCCTGTGAGTATAACCTTCTTAGAAAGTCAGCTAAGAATAGAAACAAGTGAGGCAGCACCAGCCTCAGTTTAGCCAAAACATCTGCCACCAAACACCAACCTGATGACTGATCAGGATCCTCCTTGATGCTCTTTAGCTCCCGTTTCATCATTTCATAAATCCATTTGGGTTTAAAGGAGCCCTTAATAAAAAGACACATCAAAGGAAATATGGAAAGCCTGGGCTCTGTCATTAAATTTTAAACACACATTTTTCTTTCTCTCCCTTTCTCCCTTTTTTTCCTTTCCTTTTGTTCTGTTTTTGTTTTCAGGTTTTATATTTTGCTCCAAAGACCACAGCCCAGTAAACTACTAAATAATTCATTGGAAAACAGAGTGATGAGTAGGGGATAGGCATTTGAAATATGGTGGACCAAGTGAAGTAATCAAAACCAGCCAGCAGCTGCTGTGCTTGGAACTAGGCTATTTAAAAATATAAACTCTGTATATACACTGCTTCAGATACTCTACATTTTAGCAGGTCATCATAGTCCCAGCCTGAAGGCTCCTTTCTGTTAATGAGAATATAATATTACATGATTTAAAGGTAAAATTTCAAAAATGTAAAAGTCTTAGGTATAAAATAAAAGGCTCAAAATTGAACCCATACGATGGCCAGAAAATAAGCTCCTCTGATTCTGATATCCCCAGCATAAAAAGAGTACAGGATTTTTTTCTAGAGAATTTTATAAAGCCATACACAGTTTTATGCAGGTTCTGATTATGTTAATGGAACAAAGCACGTGTGTACCTTTTTCTAGAGAATTTTATAAAGCCATACACAGTTTTATGCAGGTTCTGATTATGTTAATGGAACAAAGCACGTGTGTACCTTACACAGTTCATTCTGTCTCCCGTCAATAATATAACGTCTTTCCATGGAGCCTGATATTAGGGAACAAGTAATACAGAATCTAGGTATGCCTTAAAAGTCTAAAAACTTAGCTAATTACTCTGTGAGAATGGAGTAAAATGGACACTTCCATGCTTTCTTTAAGGGTTTCAATCTAAGAAAACCTGCTGTACCAAGTGCTACAAGAAACCTAGTTATCAAGCATATCATTAGACCATGTGGACCATGGACTTGGTCAGTCTAGTTTTATGCAATCATAACCATAGACAGATTGCTATGGACCACAGAGCCCTTTGGTCTTTATTGTTTGTTTCCTGCTCAAACAATACTTATGCAGATATAAGCTAAGCAATAATGAAAGCATTAGAGAAACCAAATCAAGTTAGAAAAGGAGAAAAATAAACAAACATAAACAAATAGGTATCAGATAGGCATTTTTTTCCTTCTCAGGAAGAAATAAACCAGATACTCCTTTGGATCTTGTTATTTTAAGTTATCTGTGTAGTTATAAAACTGATAAGTTCTATGCTAAACCTTTTAAGAAGCAATGTGCAACACTCCAAGAAGAAATGGACTTTTAAAATATATAACTAGAAGTGACCACCAAAAGTGGAGCTGATAAAACCACTGTAAGGAAATGAGTGAATTGTAGAAAATAGTCAGTTATTTTTGTAATATAGCAATACTGTTTCTAATGAGTTTTCCGATTGAATTAATTGTATTTTTTTCTGTTCTTCTCATGTTCCCTTTCATCATTATTGCCATGCATTTAACTCATTGTGATGTGTTACCACTGATATTTATTTTTTTAACTCTTTTATTTATGTATTTATTTGTTTGTTTCATTTGGCGGGTTTTTAAACCCAGATCCCACTGACCCAGTTGATTATTATCCTTTGCTTGATGATTTCCCCACCTCGGTCCCAGATGTCTCCACCCCCATGCTCCCACCAGTAGGTGTACAGGCTGTGGCTCTTACCCACGATGCTGTGAGGGTCAGCTGGGCAGACAACTCTGTCCCTAAGAACCAAAAAACATCTGAAGTGCGACTTTACACTGTCCGGTGGAGGACCAGCTTTTCTGCGAATGCGAAATACAAGGTGAAGTTCTAATTGATAGTGTAAAATTTAAAATGAACTGTCATTTGCTTAATACATTGTTTTGAATGCTTCCTGGACTGTCATGAGTCATTTTGCTGCCGTGGCACTAAATGGAAAACAAGGCATTTTAATAACTCAATATCTAAAATTAGAATGGGAATAATTGTATCTTAGGAAACAATTCTAAGGCAAGGTAGAAAAACATCAAGAAATGCAAAATATTATTTGAGTTCCACCAGATGCTGCATTTGTATAAATAAATTGATTCTGTACAGGGGAATGCCATTTTCCTTTGAAAATAGCAGGACTCCACATTAATTTTCTGGATAGATTTTGGTGTCTTTCTTTTTGTTTGAAATCTAGATTGACACCAAAGGTAACCCTATTAATGTTACGGAGACCCATTTGACAGTGAATACAGCTGGGAACACAGTTGCAGGATTTTGTAATAAGGTCCTTAGAAAACACTCGAAGCCATTAGCATTTACTTCCTCAGTTAGCCTTGAAACATACCCATGTGGTAAAGAAAGCCCCAGTGCATTCTCCCCTTTGACCAATATGAATGGCACCAACCCCTTTCACTGACGCGTCCTATAATCCTGTTAAGAGCTCTGGAGAGATAGATATTTGAGGCATTTTCTTCACTACTTTTAAATCTCTGTCAGCCAGCTTCAGTAACACCAACAAACAGTTACACATGGAGACAATTTTGTTACCACCTAAGCCTGCCACAATATTAGTATATACAAACAGTACACAAAATATAGAAAAAAAATGAGAAAAGCAACAAGTGACTATCAAGTACCTACTATGTACCTAGAACAGCACTAGATTATAGAGGCAGTTAAACACAGTTTAGTTGTTGCTACTTGACATATTATTTATAACTTTGGAATGGGTAAGACACGCAGTTCCATTGCTTCACTTCAAAGAATTCATAGGCTATTCATGTGAGATAATATATGAATGCACATTTAAAATATAAAGCTTTACAAAATGAGCATTTGGGATCAAGAAGTTAGCTTTAAAAATAAGATCATACGTGTTACCAAATAACCAAATAACCAAGGAACCAATAGTTCAATCCTGGTCCTTCTGCTTCTTCATATCCCTTTATATCCCTTCTCTTTCCCACTCTACTGGAATAGCTCTCAGAATTTGAACTTCCTGATATTTTAACCAGTGTTCTTTCCACTGGACCGCCATCTTGCTTAATCCTGCCTCTAGCCAGAGGTGATTTCAGGGATGACAATATCCCTTGGGAGTGTCAGACTCTAAAGAACCTGGAGATTAAGCAAAATCCTACCAATAATATTCTAAATCTGCCTCTTTCTTCCTGTAGCCATGCTGGATCTACTTCTAGTCTCTTTCAAATTTTAAGTGGCATAAAACTGACATTTCATCATAAATCAGTTTTAGTTGAAACCATTTTAAAAAGCTTTCTTTGGTATTGCCTCCCTGCTAGGTCAGGTATTTGGAAAAACTCTCCAGGCAAGTCCAAATAGTATCATTGATATAACACATGTTGTAAGTACCCTATCCATCTCCTTGCAGTATTAGATTTAAGACTCAGCACAACTATAAATAAAGATAGCATTATCAGATAAGACAACCAATGAAACATATGAGAACATTTCTTTAAAGTCTCTCTTTATATAAAGATTGCCCAATTCTAAGTTTACTTTTAAAAGACTACTTTAAAAATTTTATGCTCATAATTGCTGTACTTTGCCGATACATTCATTTCACAGAATGGCCATGGGTACTTTGCCAGTATGTGAAATGTTCTGAGGGACAATGATTGTTCGTAAGTTCCAAAATTTCTTGAGGCAAATTATTTCAGTTGAATGGTTAATACAGCAGACACAGAATTATTGAGTCTCACAGAGAATGCCTACAAAGTAAGACTCAACCCAAAAGCTGTTTTATAAGTGGAGGCTGATTTCTCTCATGGATTGATATCTGGGAATAGAAAAAAAGATTTTAAATGTTCCTCTTCCCACCATCTTCCCTGACGTAAGGCTTTCAGTTACTACCCTTCTGTCCCCCTTCTTACACACCCATGCTCTACATCCACACCCCTGTGAAGAAGAGGGTTAGAGGAAAAGTGGAGTAACCCGGAGAGCAAAGATGAATACAGAACATATCTAGTTCACTAGAAAGTAGTGCCATAAACTTAAGTTTTACAAATAATGGTAATAGAATGCTTTGATTTTACATTGTGAACTTTTAACTACTTTCATGCCTACTTCATCTCACTCCCCAGTACAGCATTAGAAGGTAGGTGGAGCATACACAAGATAGAGGGAGAAAAATCAGGACATGGAGTCAAATGACGTGGGCACAACAGTTGGTTTTGCTGTGTCCCGTCATGTCACTGAACTTACTCAATCTCATTGTTCTCATCTATATGGCTGGATTATTCACACCTACCGTAAAAAAAAACAAAAACAACAACAACAAAAAACTAAGATTCTCCATAATTAAGCATGTCCTTTACGAAGACATAGGTAGACTGTATAACTTGAAAAAAATTTCCTGTGGAACTATAGCTAGAGCTTGGTTGACCTTATGGCATTATCCTAGGTGATCCCCACCAGAGTCCCCTCCTATTTCATTTAATCCCAAATCAAGCCAGAGGCCAAACATTGTCTAAAACTCTGTTTTGATTTTCCTTATCAGAAGGAGCAATGTTCTGTAATTTAGTTTCTACTAAAATGATTAATCACATGATGTTTTATACTAATTTCTATTCAAAATACATTCATTGAGTATTGACTAGGGCTTACCAGATATAACATAGGTATTACAATGAGAGACTCTTGAATGCTGAGAACAAACTGAGGACTGATGGGTGGGGGGGGGGGAAGGGGGAGATGGGCATGGAGGAGGGCACTTGTGGGGATGAGCACTGGGTGTTATATGGAAACCAACTTGACAATAAACTATTTGTAAAATAAAATAAAATAAAGTTAGTCTTTTTTCTCAGTGCAAAAAAATAACATGGGTATTACAGAAGATATAAAGTTTTGCAAGACTCAGTCTCCCCCTTGGGTGCCTGGGTGGCTTAGTCGGTTAAGCGTCCGACTTTCGCTTAGGTCATGATCTCACTGTTCATGGGTTCGAGCCCCGCGTCGGGCTCTGTGCTGACTGCCAGCTCAGAGCCTGGAGCCTGTTTCAGTCTGTGACTCCCTCTTTCTCTCACCCTCCCGTGCTCACGCTGTCTCTCTCTCTCTCCTAGAAATAAATAAAACATTAAAAAAAAAAAAAAAAAAGAGTCTCCCCCTCAAGATATCCCTCTCAATAGGGTACCTAACACATGCCTTAAAGTTAAATATCACATTAGACAATGCATGAAATATTGTAGCTAGCACATCTATAACCTTCCCTGGACAAGATACTATATTTTATTTTACACTTTAAATAATGCTAGAAGGTCAGTGCTACGGTTATCTCCATTTTATGGATGAGCAAACTGAGCCTCAGAGAGATAGTTCCCGGGTATTCTATGCTCACAAAAATAGCTGGCCATGAATTTCCAAAGTACTTCTAGGCTAATGATTTATTCTGAGCCAGAATCTTCCATGAAGTTCCTGAGAAAACCCAGTGAATTCATGGTATGTACAGAATGCAAGTGTGTCATTCTAGATCACAAGCAAGGACAGTATTACTTAGCGGCCTCCCAAATGCCAGTGACTTTTATCTCTTTGTCAGAGAAACTAGTTTTATAAAAAGCTTGATCCTTTTGTCCTAGCTGAAATATTTCTCTTTGTCCATTTCTCCCTTATTTCCATTTCTAAGACTTCAAAATGTTCATGATAGTGAAGAAGACAGGATTGGAAGTTATATTTCAGCATGTCAGATACTAGCTGTCTATGTTGTATTTTATTTGATGGGATTCTATCTTCCTGAGTCTACAATGTATTTTTACATTTACTTAAGGCCCACATTTTTACGGCTTTTTTAAAGAAGACCTTCTGATAGATGTTTATGAGGTCATCACTTTAATAGGATGGATGAGCACATCATCAAAATGTTATTAGTACACTTAAATATTTATTTGGTTTTGTAATGAAATGTAGGATTTTCATAGCTATAATCTAAGGATTCATAGTACAGTAAAAAAGATATACCACACTACAGTAGTATGGGAGGAGATAGGTGTGACATAGATGGGGAAAAAGAACTTTCCTCAATTTTCTAGACACAGATATATAACAAATGTAATGAATATAAAAGTGAAAATAAATATGAAACTTTGGAGGAGGATCAAGATCTAAATACCAAGCATAACCTGATACTTACGAGAGGCATAAATGGGCTAAATTTGCCTGATCATATGAAAAATATGCATTAACCTGGAAGATTAAACTATTTTTTTCTTAACATTTTGATTTCTTGAGTAAGCAATAAAAATAGGTAATTTACTTTCTACTAAAATATCTTTAACCTGCTATTTAAGAGACAAAGAAAGGGGACACCTGGGTGGCTCAGTCGGTTAAGTGTCTGACTTCAGCTCAGGTCATGATCTCATGGTTCATGGGTTTGAGCCCTGTGTTGGGTTCTGTGCTGACAGCCAGCTCAGAGCCTGGAGTCTGCTTCAGATTCTGTATCTCCCTCTCTCTGACACTCCCCTGCTTGTACTGTCTCTCTCTCACACACAAATAAATAAAAAAATTTTCAAAATTAAAAAAAAAGAGAGACAAAGAATGGTTTCAAAAGAGAAATAATACTAACACTTTATGTAATCATTTAATACTTATCCAATTTGTTGTTCCCTCCTAATCAGTTGCTGTAGTGACCATACTGAAATGTGTGCTTAATGAGAACACTGCACAAAAGAAGACCACATAATACAACATTGCTTTTATCTATTTTTTATAATACCCAAATAGATTCTGGAATCACAAAAAGTTTGTACTCTCAAGAATTTTTTTTTTAATCACAAGGAGCAGAACTCTAAAATTAATGTTATTACTAGTGAAAAATAATCATGATGATCTACTTAAAATACATAGATGAAAATTTCTGTAAAAATGATTTTGATTATTACAAACAAATTAAAGTCAGTGAAGATTACCTTAAAAACAGAATTGACAGAAACAAATAGAATTGGTCCTGACACAGTGGTTATTGCCCTACTTGGGAAAATTAATCATCTAGCCGCCCCTCTGGACAACATCACACCTGATTTTATCCATCATATTTTAGATGTACAGTCAGCCAGTGTAAACTGGTTGACAGAAGGGAAGTAGAGCCAATTCTGTCATAGCTTTTATGCTGTTTGGAAACAGACGGTTTTTGGGTTGTTTGGTAGTCTCTGTACATGGTTTGATTTACCAAGTTGATAGAGTTCATCTTTTTTCTCTTTGCTTATTTCCCACTTGTACAGTCAGAAGACACAACATCTCTGAGTTACACAGCAACAGGCCTCAAACCCAACACAATGTATGAGTTCTCGGTTATGGTAACAAAAAACAGAAGGTCAAGCACATGGAGCATGACTGCCCATGCCACCACGTATGAAGCAGGTATGTGAAGAAAGGCTTGCTTCCAAATTTCGACTTTTGACTTTGGCAATGGTGTTTCCCAGGTTTTGTGTTAGAACTTATATGCACTGTGATGTCTAAGCCACACTTCATCCTGCAGGAAATTTTTTATTCTTTGTAGTTCGAAGCACTTTTATATCTGGCATTATCCTCTCCACTCTACAAAAGAAGAAAATGAGTCCCCAGTATACTGAGTAATCTGGTTTTAATCTGGGTGTTAACTCTGAGGGTCTGAATGTCAATCTTTTTTTCAATCCCTTTAAGTAAAGGCAGAAATCCAGACACTGAACTCTGTCCAAAACATTTGAGTCTTTGATGAGCAATCATGGAGCATATTTACTTTTTTGGAAAGAAATTGGATACAAAATAAAACATTGCATTACAACTGTAATCACATTGTAATGTTTACCATAAATAACCTCAACTGGGTATGGGAAGAAGTTTTCTTGTGGTTTTGTTCACTCCTTGGAAATAAGACAACACAATGGAAAAAACTTCATGCAATTTGAAATAGTTCAAATCGCAGGAAAATATAACTCCCTGTAAATTTTACCAGTCACATTTACTATGGATCATAAATGTTGCATTTATAACTTAACAGACATGCAGTACACTTGGCTTTTATAGTTTATAGAAACCCAACATCTGAAGACTAGGGGGTTGACATGCTTTTTGGTTGGTTTCATGGTATTCTGTTTAGGGGTAAACTACACGCATTTCCAAATTGCAAATAAAATTATACCAATAAAACTCTCTGGGTAAGTTGAATTTCTTTTTCCATTAGAATTTGTCCCATGGCATTGCAGTTCTAACTTTTAGTCCAAGCTACGACTTTAACTCAGAGATTTCACTGTTAATATTTTTACATTTTGTGGATACTTCTTTCTATAAGAAGTTTTCTAGAATGTCTGATTTAATTGCAACATCCTTCTTTTTATATTTCATCTTCTTCTGTTTTACATGTTTACATATATTAACTCTTTCTCCTAGAATTCTGCCCTGGGTGCCAATGTTCACAGCTTCTAGGGAAGAGTAAGACATGCTGAATGAGTTATGTACTATGAGGAGAATAAAGCCCTTGATCCTCCTTTTTTCTTAAAAGGAAATGAAAGGAGTCTTCCCTGAACGAAAGAGAAGGAATAGTAATTTCCTTATCAAGCAAGCATATTCATTCATTTTTTTCCCTTTCATAAACAAAATGCACCCTAGCATCTGACTTGATAAATGTATTCTCTTGCTTTTTCATCAACTGCATCGCCTTGTAGGGATACTAGCGGTGAGACCCATTCCTGACAAAAAGATATTAACTGCTTTAGGTGGGGCCATTGTCAAAGCAGATAATGATCTGGACAAAAGTGTAAATAGCATGTGGATGAGATTCCTGGGTGATGATGAGAAACAAAAAGTAATTCACAAGTGTCTTCAGGCCTTTATAACTGTGAGAAGGAAATGAACTGAATGAAATAATGCTAGGTTTGCTTCTAATTCTGTAGTAACATTAAAGACTGTATAGGGCCACATAGTTATGCTCTTGCACTAGAATTGCTTATGAGAAAGGTAAGGGTGGTTGGCAAATCTTTGAAATAAAACATTTCATTCTGTTCAGGTGATAAATCCTTAATTTTATTCTAGTTAAGTAAAATAGAAATAATTGGGAGGACCCCTGAAATAATGAAATAAAGCAGAAAAAAATGAAATAATGTAAGAAATGCAACCACAGAGTTTTGGGCAAAGACAAACAGATCCAAGTATAAATTCTGTCTGGAGGAATGAAGAAAGGTTTCACAAAAGAAGTAATAATTGAGTATGGCCAGGGTAGCGCTTCAGGTACCCATTCTAGGAACTTCGAAGGAAAGGAGCGGCATATACAAAAATACATGAGAAAGTATCAGAAAGATGTTCAGAGTGACTGCAGCACAAGATTCATGGAACAACAAGAGGGAATGAGGCTGTAAAAGAAAGTGCAGTGTAAATACCAGGGCCTGGTGTTTGTTATTTGTTATTTATTTACATTTAATCCACAGAGAATTGGTAGTCAGTGAAGAATTTCTAAAAGGTTGCCTCTGGGCAGAACCCATGAGATTGGAGAGGAACAGATCAGAGATGTTCTGCTTGACTCAGTAGATTGGAGCCATTAGGCCCACATTCCTGTCCAAACAATGTACAGCTTACATGGTGATCCTAAACATTGAAACTGTTGATTCCAATACCAGAATTGCTATTCACCAACATCCATATGGCTTGAGGAAAAAGAAAACACTTGCACAACACCTGAAATAGATTAGTTGTTAGATAGTTTGGTGTTTTTTTTGTTGTTGTTTGTTTTGTTTTTTGTTTTTGAAAAATAACCACCTCTTCAGTGTATTTCTTTGTTAGGTATAGTTGAGGTCATTTTATCTTTTTTGAATACAGTAACAGATTAAGTAAAGCAATCTTATCATCACTATTTGACTGTTTTATAAATAGCCATCAATTGGAATTTTAACCCAATTAAGAAAAAACACACTATCCTGAGTAGTTAGAAAGACAGCTCTTTTAATTACTTCCATAATCAGAAAATTCCTTATTGTGCTTGATATAGTACTCTAAGTCACTTTGTGACTACATGTTACCTTCCTGTCCATGACTTAGAAAATATCTTGAATGAACTCTTTATGAGAATAACCCTTCTCTAAGACACTATTGCCTCTTTGGTATTTTGCTGTCACAGATCTTTTCTTGCAAGAATGTCCTCATTCTTGGTTCATTAACCCATATACATATGCAGTCTCTTTACTCCGGGTTCAACTACACTAGACCTATGTATTCTCTTCCTGCTTTCATTTTTTTTTTAATTGAAATACGTTAGGTGCCTTGTCAGGTTATTATGATTAGGTGCAGCTTTGGTTAACCTGGAATACTAGTGGCTTTGAGAATCAGGGCGTTGGAAATAAATGACATGGTACATGGAAATGGTGATATTTCCTTCACTTGAAATTATACTTGGGAAGAGGAACTGGAAGTAGTGTTGCTCAGATCCCACATGATACGGCCAACAGAAGAGCCAAAGAGAATGATGGTAAAAATGAAGAATTCAGAATCAGGACCAAATTGTACCTATCTTGTAATACACAATCATTCTTAAGCAGAGATCCAGAAATACCTCTAGAATCCAATCATGGAGCTTAGAACTTAGATGTGTTCCGAAATTTCCCAGGTCAAACTGAGGGTAACTAAGAAACACTATCAATAATCAACGTGGGGCACTGTGTGCTTTGCCTGAAAGGAAAACTCACTGCATTTCAAAGCACAAACAGTGGAAAGCAGGTTTAAAGAAACCTGGAAGATACTGGACTGGCTTGGCCAGTTTACTGCCACCTTTAAAATATGTTTAAACTTTTACTGAGCACAATATAAGAAGAAAAATAATTTTCCCTTTATTCTTCTAGGTCTTTGGCTGAGACCCCTCCATAATAAAAGACAAATTAATAGGATAAAAACAAACAGGAGTTTAATGACATATATACCTCCTGTATACATGGAGAATACTCAGGAAAACTGAGTAACTCCCTAAAATGGCCCAGGCCATCACCTTATATACAATCTCCAACTAAAAAAAAAAATATGTTCTGGGGTGGGGAGCCAGTCATGGGAGCTTTTCAGGCAACTCACAATAAACCAGAGTGTCCTTGTAATGCAGAGTTATAAAAGTTTCTAGAGATTTTGTCATCCTCTTCTTGGTACCAAGAGGGGGACACTCTTATAAACCCAAATTTCTCTTGTAAAAGGGTAACATCTACTAAATTTTCAGAGCTTTTCCTATGTCTACTGTGGTCTTAAAAAAAAAATCAGCCTAAAATTGTCCTTAGGCCAAAGAGGCATATTTTGGGGTGATAAATTCTGCCCACTTTCAACAACATGTGGGAAAAGTAACTCTAAGAAAGGCAGAGTTTCATGCCTTCTTTTTCCATGCCAGACTGATACTAAGACTTTCGCAGATTCCATACCTCTTCTATTTTCAAATTTTGTTTTTGCCTTCTTTGCTATGTTTGTTAGGAGATACTTAGTATGTTTACCTAGGCAGGATGTTTTAACCTGCATTTAAATGCATTCTTTTATTCTTCTTGCTTTTAAGAAAATATAGAATTAGGTGACATTTGGATTTATAAATCCTACAGTTGTTACAGAATTCTGTCTCTTGGAGACACGTAGGCATCAATCCCACTAAGTATGTGTACATTTCTTTGTTCTTATAATGATTCTTACATGTGTAGTGTGGCACTTGCTTAGAAATACCCGTTATACTTTTCTCCTCTGTATTCACACATGTTCTGTTCTCTTTTCTATATTTACACCTTTGGAAGTCATTTAACTTCCATGGAAAAACATTAGTTTTATACATTTTTGTTTGCTTGTGTAATTAAAACACTTGAAATAACTCGTAACTGGTAAGATAAACATGGTATACTGCACGATGGATTCTGAGCATCAACATCATGATTAGAAGTCTCATAAACGTCTCTTTTCTTTCACATCCAATGACAAGGTCTTGTCTCTGTTTCATCTCGTAGCCCCGACCTCTGCTCCCAAGGATCTGACAGTCATTACTCGAGAAGGGAAGCCTCGGGCTGTCATTGTGAGTTGGCAGCCTCCCTTGGAAGCCAATGGGAAAATTACTGGTGAGCATCTCGGCTTCATTTCCAGCATTGCTCTGCTTGGCCTGTGATTCTCTCACCTCCTATGCACTGCTCATGCCTTTTGTGTATTTGTTTTCTGTCCTGACATTTCAGTGTCCTCCCTGATGCTTCCTGGTTGTCTCTTCTTGCCCACCCTCCCCCCACCCCATGGAATTTCTTCTAATGGTGCCTACAAATATGCACACACACACACACACACATTTCATTTGAGTTGCTTCCTGAAGGATGTGTATTTCAATTAGTATAGACCTTTTGTTTTTCATCTTGTGGATCTTTAGGACAACCTTCTAATGGAATTTCCCTGAGCATAAAAGACTAAAGAGAAGCTGGTTGTTTGGCAGTTATAAATACAAAAGACACCTAATGACCATGTATTTTTGAATGGCACATACAAAAGAGGTTTTTAGTTTCTCACTTTAGCTTTTAGCTTCTTACTTAAATCATAAGGTTCATAAAATACTTAATATTGACTGACAGAAATTGAACTTAATGAATATTTCACAGTGACACATTTTATTTTGCCAAATATTGCTGATAACATCAATGCCTAATTAAAGCATCCATTAGAAGCCTGTAATGTTAATTTAGTATGAAAAATATAATGGAGTTCTATCAGGGATTTTGCATTTAAATGATCACTTTAGGTTTTTAATAGATGTCTCCATAGCATATAATTATTATGAAAAATATTGTATAACTAAAAATGTGCACATTATAGTCTAATTAACTTGAACCATTGGGTTAGGCACATGTAAGAGTCACTCCATTTTCTTCTTTTATTTTTTTGCATACAAGTGGATAGAACTATTATAAATTAACAAAGTATTTCAGTCATTCTGTGATAACAGAGATAAGCTTGGAAATTACGGTTCAGATGGCACACATTTACTTTGTGTGAGTTACTTTCTGAATTTTCCAAAATGAAAAGATAATGTGAAAATTCCAAATGAGATTTAAATTTAAGTAGAAGACTTGTTTTCTCTAGGAAATTGCTCTTAGTGCAATAGCAAACAGAATTTTCATTTGAGCTGACAAATATGGAAAAAAAAGAGGGATATTAAATCTCCCCCAAAACTTATATGCTGAGTTGTCACTGCTAGCCTTTGTAAAACTGAGGTTGGCTCATTCTAATTTTCTCTTTCTGTTTCCCTTCAGTGTTATGATTTATTTTCTTTGCTTCTATTTCAGTACATCTTTAGATTTTGATTTGTTTACATGATGACTTTTTTATTATGTTATAAACAGTTATTTATAAGCATATGATAAATCAATAGATAATAAGCTTAAGAAGAAAAAAACAGAAGTCTAAATAAAAACAAGTTCTGATGGGAAAAAATTTACTTTTTGGTAAGGATAAAAGAAGTCATATACTACCAAAATTCTCCACTCTTATTTAAACGAATCTCATCAAATAGTCCATGTAAACAATGGAATGTGTTTTCAACTCTGAAAGGAAGCTTAATTTTGCTTTTTCAGGGAAAAAATGAAAGTCTGCTCCATGTTAAGAAATGCAAATTAATCCAAGCGATAAAATTCTGTGTGTCAAAGTGACAGTGTATGTATAAGAAACCTTCTCCACATGTTATTAAAAGTTGTATGTTCAGTATCCAGTCTCTCACAATGGTAAAGTAAGAGTATGGGAGGCAGTACTTTTTACCTTCAAAAGCCTAGTTTATTTATTAAAACAAAGTTGTTATTGTCAAGTGGAGACATTTTGACTCAACTCAACAGAGAGCAAAACCCTTAAGATAACTTCTATTCCATACATATTTTGATTCTTTCAGTGAAATTACTTCCAGGAAACAGGATGATGAAATTTTCAAAATACCATATAGCAGAGGACCCGGATTTATAACACTCTGTTTTTCTCTAAAGTATAAAGGAAATGTGACCTCTTTTCAGTGTGTCAGAGCATGTGTGTGCTGATGTGGGAGAGAGGTTCACATCTTTCCTTCCTATTTATTTGCTATCCCAAATCTTTGCATATACACAGCAGTAGAGCAGGGTGGTTCAGACCCTGAGCTTCTGAGGGAGATACCTGGGTAAGTTAACTTTCCTAAGTTCACATTCTCATCTATAAAATAGGGGTAGTCATAGAAATTCTTTTACAGAATGTAATAATAAACTGCTGAGAAATGTCTTTGATGTCTAGTGAGAACTAAAACAAATCAGCTGTTATTATTCTCATTTGAAATCCATCCTAGGGTGAGGCTTTAGTCATGTACTCTGCATGGAACCCAGATAATCAATTTGTAAATATATATACTTCAAAAAGATTACACAAAAAAGAGGACAAAGAAGATCTAGATAATGCCAGTGCCTGGATTTCTTGATTGTAAAGTGGCAGCTTAGGAATTTATACTGGGATTTTCAGGAGAGAGTGGTTCAAAATGAATTAAGCATTTATTATATGCTTGGCATCCTGCTTAGCACTTTAGTATTATAAGGGATTCCATCTTCCTATTATTCCAGTTTGAAACAAAAAGACCAGAGGTTTCTAGGGTAAATGGCTTTCCCAGAGTCAAGTAACCAAGAAGTAGCAGAGCTAGGATTTAAAAATCATGTTCATACTCTTCACTATTACACTATGTTTTGCTCTAGCTTATTAGTATTCAACTGGTTCAAATCAGTGATTCTCAACTGATTTATGTTTTAATTTATCTGAGAAAGGATTGGCCATGCTATATTTTAAAAGCTCCCCAAGTGATTTTAATGTACAGCTAGAGTTTGAAACATTGATCTAAATAAATGCAGCATCTAACATTATTTAAGATCAGAGACCAACATAGTTTTAAAAAAAAGTTAGGTCTTGAGAGATTGTTTCCTTCCTTATCAGTACTATCCAATGGATAAGATTATGTTACTTTTTTTGTGTGTCATTGTCCTGTTCCTCTTTCTTAAATCTCTTTCCTCTTGATATTATTAGCAGACATTTCATCCACCGTTTATTAAATAGATCTTTTTATTCTCTTTGTTACTTTATCTGAAAAAGTGTGTAGAGTATAGCCAAGGCTTCAGTGAATGCAAACTTATGTCTCTGAAATATGTATCTCCATCCAGTGAATTCTAAATATGTATATCCTACCTCATATCATACATTTCCACTTGCCTGTCTTATTGGCACCTCCTTCTGTTCCCCAATCCTTCTCTCTCTCCCTTTGTTCTCTTTTCATTCTTGTTTGTTTGTTTGTTTGTTTGTTTGCCACCTACCATAACCAGCCAAATAATGATGCATTCTTCATTCTTATATTCTGTAATAGGTTTAAGACCATCCAGGATTGTGGACCCACCTGAGCACTCACTATAATCAGATGTGTCTAAATATTCTTACTTCCATCATTTAAAAAAAAAAATCAGGTTCACCCTGTTGCCAACATTGGAAATTTAGCCATCTTGACTTCTTCCTCTACACTCCCTTCCCATATAATCAGGAGAGAAAAATCTAAATGCTTATAATACAGGGCTGAAAATTCCATAAAACAGGTTTCAGATTTTGACCAATGCTTTGTCTTCAGTATCAATATTCTTGACACTTAGTAGGTAATTAATAAATATTTATTGAGTAGAATAATCTCTGAATCGCTATTAAATCTATTGCTTGACTTGAAGTCAAAGTTTCAGCTGTTCTAAGAATGATGCTTCCTTAAGCTTTACTAATATTAAGAAAAAAAGAGAAAAGAAAAGAAGGAAGGAAGAAGAGAAAAAAAATGAACTGATGGAGCATTTGCTACATAGTCACTCTATATAAGATAATATAAATGAATACCCACTATATTAGATTCTTAAAATGCAGTACCTCACAGCAACTTATTTTCAGATGAGAATATTGACACACTTAGATTAAGCAAGCTGGTCAAGGTTGCAAAGCCAGGAAATGATAGACCTATGGCTTGAATCCATAGCCTGTTTATTTTTAGCATTTTTTTTGCCCCAAAGAAGGAAGAAATGAGTCCTCCATTGTATATCTATTGATATTCAAGATTATCAGAGTCAGTTTTTGAAACAGGAAGAGTTCACACTGGGCTGAGCTCCTTGCTAGTAGGAATCATCTTGGTCTTCCTAGTACTTAGCAGGTGACCCACAGAAGGGAATCATTGACTTGTAGGAATAAGTACAGATAAAGACAGAAGAGAGAAGAAGGTGAAATTGAACACTTTTGACCCTTTCCTTTTGGAATTACAACTACCTATTTGTATAAATAGTCAAAATGACAGATATATGATGGTATATTTTATACGTATTTAGAAAAATGTGATTCTAGTGTATAAGTGCCCACTTGAGTTAACAGTCCCAGGTCTTATCACCTATCACAGGATATAGTTATTATTTGGCTAGTTATGGTAGGTAAGAGACAAAAAAGAAGTAGAAAAAAGTAAGAGAGGGGCACCTGGCTGGCTCAGTCAGTTGACCATCTGACTCTTGATTTCAGCTCAGATCATGATTCCAGGGTTGTGGGATCAAGCCCTGTGTCAGGCTCTGCTCTGAGCAGAGCAGCCTGCTTGAGAGTATCTCTTTCTTTTTGCCCCTCTCCCCCACTCACGTTCTCTCTCTCTCTAAAATTATTTTTTTAAGGAAGAAAAGAAAGGAAGAAAAAACTTGGACACAGAGAAATGAACATATAGGTACAAAAAGGTTCTGGGAAACCAATGAATTTATTCCAACCTGTGTGGAAATCTATATGCTAAGACTTCAATACCACACCAAACTAACAAATCCAAATGAAATTATTTGCTTTCTCCAAGGCCAATTTTTAGAGTTGATGATTAGAGAATGACACAGTAATATGTTTCTATTCTCCATCTCAGTTCTCAAATTTACAAAAAAAAAAAAAAAAAATAGGCTTCCCCGTAAATAACAGGGAATCACTTCAAATACAATTTGGAATTGTTAGAAGTTGATGCTTGTACCATCAACACTACTATTTTTTTTAGGAAAGAATATGATACTACTGCTTTTTTAATTTACATTTTAAAATAACCTCCAGAAAGGTTTATGCCAACTGAAACTTTTTGTATTTTCATTGCAATGGACATTATAATTTCTAGAATATTCATCAATAACATACCATTATTTCATTTCCATTTCCGTATTTACTATTGAGATTGAATATTTTGCATTTATTTATTAATGAGCTATAATTCTTCTTTGTGAAATAGCCAGGTCTGTCTGTCTGTCTGTCTGTCTTTCTTCCTTCCTTCCTTCCTTCCTTCCTTCCTTCCTTCCTTTCTTTCTTTTTTTTAAATAGTTTATTGTCAAGTTGGTTTCCATATAACACCCAGTGCTCATCCAACAAGTGCCCTCCTCCATGCCCACCAACCCCCTTCTCCTCTCCTCCACCCCCATCAGCCCTCAGTTTGTTCTCCGCATTCAAGAGTCTCTCATGGTTTGCCTCCCTCCCTCTCCCCCACTATTTTTCCCCTTCTTCTCCCCCTTGGTCCTTCGTTCCTCTTAATCCTCCTATACGTGCAAACATATCTGTCCTTCTCTGTCTGACTTATTTCACTCAGCATAACACCCTAGAGTTCCATCCATGTTGCTACATATTGCCAGATTTCATTTTTTCTCATTGCCATGTAGTATTCCATTGTATAGATAAACCACATCTTCTTGATCCATTTGTCAGTTGATGGACACTTAGGCTCTTTCCATGTTTTGGCTATTGTACCATCAATCCTACTTATTTGATTCCAGACTTCTCATTTTTAAATGCTTACGTGAATGCTTTTTTTAAAGGAAAAACATCCCCAAAACACAAGGAAGGCAGATATTTTATTCTCATTTGATACACAAAGTCAGGAATAAATATAGCAATAAGTACATATCAAATATTCCCATTTGATATATAAATAAAGTCAGGAATAGCTGACCTGAGATGAGAATACAGTTTTCCAAGCTTTCTGTGTCCTTGGACACTTACAGCAGGCCATAATAACTGTACAATTGCATTAAATGTCATGAATGTAAAACATATGTGCTTACTGACTAGGAGATTTCATTCCATAACTGAGTTTTAAAACCTATTATGTGGAGTTGATTTTATTGGTTTCTCTGAAGAATAAAGCAATATAGGATATGGCTCCTGAATAAAGGAATGTTTGTATCCTTTTGAAGAGATAAGACATGCACATCATAAAAACTAAAGATAAACAAACAAACAAATAACTAAGTAACAAATAAATAACCAGTACCAGGGTCTTCTATTCAGTAGATGTGACTCTTTAGAGGACAAGAGTGGACACTATTCTGACTCAAAAATACTGTAGAGTTTTCAAAAAATATAGAAAATTGTATTGATATTAATCATGGGGGTTGAGTTATAAATGAGTCAGAAACAACTTCTTTACCTAGTGATATTTTACAATCCATTTTAATTATGGTCTTCCAATATTAATATTAACCAGAAGGAGGATTCGCACAATCTTTGTAAGTTTTGCAGAATTCTTTACCTGTGTCTTTCATCTTTTACTGAGCTCTCTGCATTATAAGACATTCATATTTGCTGCATCAACAGTCTCAACAAATGCCAAAAATATACAGATTGCACATATCAAGTAAGGCAGTGATTCCTGAACTTGTTTGAATACAGAAATCACCTGGGGTGCAGATTGCCAAGGTTACCATTTGCCTGTTATGTTATCTATTGCTGTGTAACAGTATCACCACAAACAACAGACATTGTTATCTCAGTGTTTCCATCAGTCGGGAATCCATGCACAGGATTTATAGGCAGCATAAACTTTATATTTTTAAATATGGCAGATATTTTTATTTTGAATGGCCTATTCAATCGTTGATCCTTGCAATATAAAAAAAAAGTCATTACTTGCCAAACTGAATACTATAACTAATAGATTGTGAATGTATAATAATCATTGCAAATTATATTTGGGAAACATGAGTGTTTAGAAGCAGAAGTATAGCATGTGGTCAATATAATAAACAAAGTTAAATTCATCTATTTACACAGCTTACATCTTGTTTTACACCTTGGACAAGAACATACCAATTGATGACTGGGTTATGGAAACAATCAGTGGTGATCGACTTACTCACCAAATCATGGATCTCAACCTTGACACTATGTATTACTTTCGAATTCAAGCACGAAATGCAAAAGGAGTGGGTCCCTTGTCTGATCCCATCCTCTTCAGGACTCTGAAAGGTTTGAATAATTTTCTCATACAGTATAGCCTCTCTTTCCTCGTGGGATTGTGGTAAAAAAGTTATGGAGTCTGTGTAAGGAACTGTCTTTGCCATCTCTATTGGCAACATGACTACAGTGGACATTCAAAATAATTTAAAATGTACATTTTTATGCTGAAATCCAGCAAGTCAAAGAAAGGTCTATTGTGTTATCACATTTTCTGACATCAGTACAAGGCAGGCATATTTAACTTGACTTTTTTTTTTCATTTACAGTCCTTTTGGAATTTTATATTGATTTCATGTGAATTGATTCTATTCAAAATATAATGAAAGTTTTTAGCCATTTTATAAAGGAAATAAAAATTAAAAAGCACTGAATTATGTGAATGTCATACTACTGCCAATTTTAAATGTTTTCTTTGAGGAACTATTGTCCCTATATATACAAAGAAAAGTTGATATGGCAAGACAGAAAATCTCAAACAAAATGAATGTGTTTATTTTAAGACCTAGGGTAGCAACAAGGAAAAAAAATCTTACAGTTTGATTACTAGAGGAAAACTCCCCATGCTTGTAAGAATAAAAATAGCTACTCAATTCAAGCCTAGTTATATGTTCACAAAGAAAGATGGTAAGGCCCAAGAACAGTGACTACATCGAAATAATCTTCATGTTAGTCCTTACTAATTTACAACAGTATTATTTTTTCTGGAACTTACATGGTTTCAAGAGCCTCTGTTATTCAGCAATTGAAACAAAATTGAATGTTTCATAGCTGATATTTAAAGATGTATATGTAGGCATTATGTGTGTTGTTCTAAAGACAGGTACTTGGCTTTTAAACCTGTGACCACATTATGTCTAGATATCTGGCCAAAAACTTGGTAATACATGATGGCAAACAACTGAAAAATTAGAAACATGAGGATGGTTGACATTTTCACCTGGTCGGATATTAAAAGAAGAATCTTAGAACAATTTTAAAGCCATTCAATTTCCCTAGGAAAGGTACCCTAATAAATAGTAGACTTTTGAATTCTGGTGAAGGAGCTAGCCATTCAAAGCCGGACTTGGTGGTAACAGCTAAATCTGAAAGTTTGCCAAGAATACACAAACAAGCATTCAGACTAAGCCTTAGTGACAGTTCTTAGCAACAGAGGAGAAGTTGGGGAGGGAGGCAGGAGGAAATGAGCTCATCGTCATCTCTCCGGGTTTTTAGGACTTCATGTCTAAATCAGGTTCCACTCCAAATGAGCAATTGAAAGGAAATTGGTTCTTCATTTTGTGGGAGCATGAAATGTAACTAGATACTGTTTCACAAATGCTTCGTCTTTATCTATAGACAAGTGCCAAATTAATTTCATGCTCACATCATGTGCCAACTAGAGATCTTAGGGAGGATTTAAGATGATTTAAGGCATCCAAATGTATTAAACAGCAGAGTGATGAGTTATCACAGGATATACAGACCCACACTGATAACCATCCTGTAGATTATTTAATGAACCCTGTATCTCATTTGGTACTGTTTACCTTAAGTGCCTTAAACTCATCTATGAAATGATGTTCAGAACTGAGAATAAATTCAGGAATTTGTTATAATTGTCCACAAGCATTATTTCTAATATCTTGATTGAACTGTTTAATATTGTCTATCCTCAATAAGGTCATGCTCAACTAATAGTCAATTAGATTTTAAAACAAATCTTGCTCACATAGTAAACTAAGTTTTAGATTGATTGCATTCTAAATTATTTAGAAATATTGATCTTGCCTATCTTTATCAATAATTGACATTGTACATGTATGTATTCTATATGTTACAATGGCAAATATTCTAAGTCAAACAAATTATTCATAATAGATTTACTTATAAATTACTCACTGGCCACAGTGAACCAAATCTATACTAAAGACATCAAATCATGCTCCTGCTCTCTGATTTAAGATTTTCAGTTTCCAAAGCTGCTTCAAAACATAAGGCCTCTATTCATCAGAATGTAACTTTGTTTGACAGCAAGAAAGACTCACATGTTGTCTTGAAGCTAAGAAAGCTCTCAGTAGTCTACTGGGTAACAGGCAAGTGTTTCATTGCAAATCATGCCCCAGGCAGGTGTCTACAAACCTCATTCTTTCATATGCAAGCTTTGCAATGACAGTAGCATTTACTATGAGAGACTAGAGTTTTGTCTTTGGTTTTAGCCACCATCAAGAGAGGTATAGGAAACTCAATCAATAATCACTGGTTAATGAAAAGGACACTTATAATTAAAAAGGGATTAAATTATAATACCCTTGTGTACATGCATGCATGTGGTATATCTGACTGTTTCTTTGGAATGTCAATTAAAAGAACTTTGAACTTGATTCTCTAACCACATAGGACTCTGCAATTATACTTCCCCAAATACTCTCCATTAAGATATCCATACACTTATAAGCCTTTGGAAGAGGTATAAGATGCATGTCAATTTCTATCACATGTGCTGTTCTGTCCAGTAAACCAAGCTTCTTCATGTTAGCCTGTCAAGCAATAGGAAGAGAGGATGCTTCTACCAAAACAGACCAAAGTGGGATTCTGTGGAGGGAAGGAGTCACCTTCTACACACAAAAAAGCAGAGTCTTTGGCAATGAAACAGCACTAAAGTATGGTCTGTTCTCTAGACATCCTTAATCATCATACTGAAATGAGCATCTTTCCCATCCAAGGATATAGAACTGAAAGTTCCATACCAGAATACAAAAAAAGTTTTAGTCTACAAATTATTTTTTACAAAATACATGATTTTCTTGACAAATGACAGGAGCAAATAAAAAGCCAAGACACAAATTATGATACTTTTATGCCATTATTTGTCTTTAATAAAAAGTAACTATTAGGATATATTTTATCCCTATTGGTAAATACTCTTTGGTTGATCATTTTTCTTGAGACATTCAAATTTCTCAAGTTATATCCAATCCAGATTACTAAAAGAGAAACAAATCCAGAAGATAAGAATAGGATGACATCATTGCCCATAACATATTTATTTGTCACTTGATAAAAATTTCCTTAGACTGTAGATAATGCATGTGTATAATTAAAGACAAAGGGGAGAAATGAAGAAAATGAAATGATATTGTTTTTTTCTTTTATTGATGTTATTCCAAACATATGTCCCCTAAATATGAGATGCTGATTAGGGTAGCTTCTCCAGTATATCTTGTTCTGGCTGCCAAGCTTTCAGGCTTTCTGGATTATTGGTCAAATATGATTCTGACATTTCCTTCCTCATTCTTACCAGAGACCTGGTGTGGTACTTCCTACAACATAGTGTCCTTTCTCAAAAACTACATTAGGATCTCAGTAAAAATCCCATTCCTGTCTATAAACTACAGATAATGCAGTTGCCTATCAAAAGTACTTTTCATCAACAATCTCCTAATACTATAATAAAATGTATCTTGAGAAGTTATTAGTCTTTAATGGCAAATGGGAGAGAATATTAAGAAAAAAATTAAGTTGTGATGATTAGACTAGGAAAGATAAGGTTAGAAAACCTGGTGAATTAAAACAATGTTTGTTAAATCTTGAGGAGCTACAATGACATTTATAAAACTTATTTAAACCTGGTAGAATCTTAATATAATGAGCACTCTAGTGTATACACCATTTTCCAAAGAGTCATTCAGCGTTCGAAGTCTACTACATATTAAGATACCTTTCCCAGTCTATCCTTATTTCATAGAATTTGTCTACATATTATTTTAAAATGAGAGAAATGAAATTATTTTAAAAGTGATAGAAATGTGTAACTAAGTTTAGAAATTTGTCCTATAAGGTGACATTCATGAACCCTGTTCATCTGAAAGGGGCTTTTAAATATTTCCATTCCATATATTTTTCTGAGCAATTATTTATGTTACCTTCACTTAGTAAAGGAAAGATCACCACTTCTAAGATATTTGCTTTAAGTTATTTTTCAAGCAACAATGATGGATTTGCTGGAGACTGCTACCCAGAATGAGAGAACTAGGGTGTTTAGGTTATAGGTTGCTTTCATGGGAACACTATAGGATTTCTCTCTGTGAGTTTAACTGCAACACATAAAGAAGCAAACAGCAAGTGTAGTAGCCTACACATCAAGTTTTAGTGCGGTTGAGCTCAATAAACCCAGAAGACTGGAAGCTCAAAGACACTCCAGTATAGGGAAATAATTCTAGTTGACAGAGACTGACAATGATCTACATTGGTCAAAATGTCACATCGCAATTTTATAAAAGCAATGATACCATGGATTTACCTCACACACAGTAATATTTTATTAACAGAAAAGAAGCCATCTTAAATAAATTAGAGATATCTTTAAATTTCAAAAAATAAGTCCTTTTCAAGAACATTATTCACAATGTGATTGAAGTTGTCAGCAGATAGGAGTTTTAAAGTCTAAAAGCTTATCAAATCATTTAGATTAAAACATATTTATTATATTCTTTTATTTTACCCCATCCACATGGGAATTAGTTAAGTTCTCTTGTTGAAAAAAAAATTGAAGACAAGAAAATAGCTTCTTTAGCTTATTTTAAATATATGGGTGATAAGTACTTGGTAATTGCATGCATTTTTTGTATGTATTGTATTTTAATTAAGCTTCCATGATGATCATTCTTGAGTTGAGGTGTAGAGGAATAAAACAAACAACATTTTTAAGAACACGCACAGCAAAATCAGTATTTTCATATTTTTTCCTCTGACTACTATTAAATAGAAATAATCACATCAACCATGGTTCCTTATCAACTTTATTTCAACATGGCTTTGGCCTTGATATGAAAACTTGTTAACAAAACTGTTGATTTGAAGTGTCAGCTTTCTTGCTAGGAAATGTCAATGTCTAATAATATTTCTTTCTCCCCCACAGTAGAACACCCTGACAAAATGGCTAATGACCAAGGTATGGTGGCTCAATCTGTCATCCTTTCTCTCCTTGAATCAATTCTATCTGTTAGGAATGTCAGTCATTATTTTGTATTCCTTTTATCACCTGGGCCATACACCTGATGAAGCAGACACTGGCGTGATAATTAATCTTGTTAATGAAGTTCTGTTTGGCTGAAGCTGCAGGTCTGTTGGGAAGATGTAAATTTTCTTGAGAGGAAATTGTTTTGTCTCTATTCTGAAGGACCAATTAAAATGTCAAGCTTCTTTGTATGAAATAAATTTTTAGTCTCTGTCTGCACTTCTGAATAATTCACATTAAGTATAATTAAGCTCAGCATAATTTTCAAGCTGCTCTTACACCCTTTCGTGAGCTATGGATTAAAGTTCTGTAGCTCTACAGAGAAAAATCGTAAATCATGTGTGCTTTTTCTCTACGGTGAGCTTCGTTTAATAAATAAAAACAAAGTTAGGACAACTTTCTTAGGGCATTACTATTGTTCATTTTGAAGTCAGAGAGCTTTGATTCCGTGAATCAGATGCTGGTTTGACTCAGAGTATTTTATTCTCCTTCCATCTTTTGCTAAAAGCTGATTCATGTAGAGAAACAGGCATGGTTCTTACACAAAGGAAAATGGAGATTAATAAGAGTTATCCATCAATTCCCACATAGATATGACTTTGCTATTACCATCATTTGCACACTGATAAATTAGGATTTCATTATTTTTACCCCAAAGATAATCAGTAAAATTCTAGAGGAGAACAAGAATAGTTTATGTGTTGTATTTTCTTCAGCATGTTATATTCTTTAAAGAAAGGGGAGTTTGGAAGTATTTGCAACTGGTTGTCAGTGATGTTAGTATTTGCTGGCTCAGCACCTACAGTTTGTGTATTTTGTCTCATGCTGTGGACGTCTACTATCAGTGGAACCTGCATGCAGGCATCAGGTCTCAGAAGGCACCATCTCATAAGATTGGAGGAAAACATTCTTTTCAACAAGAATGCTTTTTAACGTTTGAGTATTAAGCATCGGGATATTAACACTAACATAAGATTGTCTACATGGTAGTATTTTATATAATGATTCCATCTTCAGTTTTCTCTCTTCTGAGTCTTCACATCATGCCTCTGCTTCAGAGAACATGGCTAGGACTTGACACATGGAGTAATAAAAATGAATCAATATACAGAAATGTCTACCCAGAGTTAACATTTCCATTAATCACCTAAACTTACTTCTGCTTACTTCCACTTAAAATATTTTTGTAAGATCAATACCTACTAAATGGTGATATCTGTAAACTATTAATGATGAACACTGATCAGTTAGCATACATGTACTCCGGTGAATTAAATATTAGTGCTGGCCAGATCCAAATCTGGAATAATTGATTAGTAGAAGCGGTTTTTATTATTTCATTTATAAAATAATTAAAACAGCTCTGCATAGCCTTCTTAAATGCATTTGGAAATTCCACAGGCAGAAAATTCCTTTTTTCTTTTCTTTTTTTTTTCCTTCCCCCTCACCCACCACAGGCAGGTAATTCCCAATTTTTGAAAGTATATTTAGAAGAATAGAAAACACACCAAATATTTTAAAAATATTTTAATGTTTATATGAGAAAGAGAGAGAGAGAGCACAAGCATAAGTACAGAGAGAGAGGGAGATAGAATGCAAAGCAGACTCCAGGCTCTACGCTGTCAGCCCAGAGCCTGATGCAGCACTCAAACTCATGAGCCTAGCCATGAGATATGACCTAAGCCAAAGTTGGATGCTTAACCAACATCACTTGTAAAATTGAGAGAAACTGACAGCATATAATTTAGTGATTATACATAAGATCTTTACATTCTTACAAAAAAAGCATATAAAATTTACTGGCCATCAAAATTTCTCTGTAAACAAAGTCAGTCTTCTGAGTCAATGACCACCTAGAAGAAAAATAACCAAGCTTGAAGATTCTTCTAAGATTGATGAAAGTAAGAGGAAAAAGATGTTCTGAATGTTCCCCCTCTTGGCACAAAACAAATCAGTTGAATATGTTTTATTGTGCCTACTGTTAGACCTATTTGCTCCTTCCCATGGTGAAGTGATCCCAGTTACATCTATGACAGGAGCCGAATTTCTGTTGAGACGAAATTCAACACCTTGAGTCAGAGTTCATCTTGCAAACATGAATCCTATATAGAAAAGCATGGGATCAAATGAGAATAAGAAAAGTTTTGATTTAATTTAATGAATTATCTTTGCAGACTTTTGTCAAAATTACTTTTTCTTGGAATATAATGTATGCCTTGCAGTGCATAAACATGAGAACAAAAATTCAGTTATTTACTTGAATCAGTTGTGATTTGAGGAAAATATTTTCTTCTGAGTAATAGCAGTAGTAGTTTGAAAATGATAGACAATTTACATGGAACTCTTTTTTTCTCTTCATGTAGTTATAAAATGATTATATCTAGCATTTTCTTATCCCTCTAATCTCAGCCTACTCTGTAATTCCCCATTTTTGCAGCCCCTTATCTCTTATTACATATCCTAATTTTTTTCTCTAGTCTCTTCCAGGCACAAGTGGCCAATAAGTTTGAAGATAATCATGAGATTTTACAGATTAACCACAGAGTTTAATTTTTAGGAAGGTCAGGTAGGATTGGGAAATTGTATGGGCTCTGTGAAGTGAGTGCAGAGGGCATATAAAAGCTGTGATTTATTTTTTCCTTTTTTATATTTCATATTTTGATAAGAACCCTGTGAATGTGTGTGTGTGTGTGTGTGTGTGTGTGTGTGTGTGTGTGTGTGTGTGTACGTGTGTGATGGTAAAATGAATTCTCGTTTAGCTCTATCACCAATCACTGTTCTGAGAATTCCCATTTAATTCTTCTCTGCAGTATGGTGAGATACAACTATTATTCCCACCATGGCAATGAAGAAACTGAAGCTCAGAGAGTTTAAGTGCTCACCCATAGACACACAGCTAGTAAGAAGCAAGGCCATTATTCAAATCCTGTTCTTAACCACAGAGTATGTTCATCCCACATTTGTATACATACACAACCCTATACCCTGTGTCCAACATATGTCCATAAGGTTGCTGTATCTAAAGTTTGTGTATGGATATCTTGCCAGTATCAGCTTCCCTTTCCCCATCTCTGTGAATAGACCAAAGAACAAAACACAAAGCAGCTTTCAGTCTGGGGTCATCTTGTTAGTGGGATGTCACAGCACTAACTATGTGATCCTGATAGTCCTTTATCTCAGGAAACACAGGGATGGTGCTAATTCAACTGTCTTAGTCAACTCAGGCTGCTAAAACCAAATGCCACACACTGGGTGGATTAAACAACTGTTCCACGCACTTCTGGAGGCTGGAAGTCCCAGATCAAGGTCCAGCAGGTTGATTTCTGGTGGGAGCTCTCTTCCCAGTTCTCAGACAGGTGTCTGCTTACCATGTCCTCACAGGGCAGGGGAAGGGCCAGCTCTCTCCTATCTCTTCCCATCAGAACAACAACACCCTACCCTTGTGACCTCATTTAGCCTTAGTTGCTTTGAAAGAGGTTCACACTGAATGTTAGGAATTCAGCATATGAATCTGGGGGGCTGGGGTGGGGGGCACAATGCACTTCACAGCATCCACTTTCAAAAAGAAAGCTGTTCTTTCACTCCCACTAATTATCTCCCCAGTTTTTCAGAGGAAGAGACAGAAGGCAGTTGTGGGCAGTATTGGACCCCAACACATTTCTCTCTGTCTCCCAGAGTATAGCCTCTCCACTGTAGGCTGTTGCTCTGTGTATGGAAAATTTGGCTCTTTGATTTTCTATAAAGAGCTTAAACCATTTAGAGCTTCTCATGGTAAACTTATAAAAGCCTCTGCTTGGGGTTGCAATGGAGGATAGCTGTAACTATAAATTACGACCAATTCTCAGAAGTGATTATCAGATCAGACCTCTAATCTTAAAGGGCTGTTTTTACATCCTCACATTCTGTTTAACCCCCAAATATTGTTCTCCACTTTGAGGTGTCTATGTGTAAAAAGTGGTAACCCTTAGCATCATGACTACAAATGTTTACAAGGTCATGTGTGTTTCCACATCTGCTCATTGGCGCACTTTGAGTAGGTGCTAGGGCCATGTCACAGTACCTTAAAGAGGGTGGGAATTTTTATGAAATGATCTGTGTCATGGTTGAGGTGAATCGGGAAGAAAATGCTTGCTTTGAGCACTCTCCAGTGTCTTTTCACTCTCCATTGCCTGCAGAGGGATGATCTCAAACACCAGGTCTACAAAGGAGGTGGAAACTCCACAGCCAGTTTATAGATCCAGATGCAGGTGGCCTGCTGAGAACTGCCCTTCCACCAGGAGGGAGAGTTATTCTCCTCTGAATCGTGGTAATGGCTAATAAAGCTCCGGCCTTCCCATCAGCACTGTGTGTGCTCCAAGAGTCTGGAATGGGATCAGACACCTCAGTTTCTAGTACCATCTTGCCACTATGACCTCCTGTGTGACTTTGGGCATGTGACTGTCATGTCTCAGCATCCTCACCTGTGAAATGATGACTTTAGCCCAAATTATCTTTTGTTTTCTTTCAAGATTTCAGATGATTGGACTTTAAGATTAGTATTGGTATAAAATACTCAGGTATAGCATCTTTTCACAGTGTAGTGAAATTCATATTTAGAAGAATGATTGATACCAGTAGGTATCTGTGCACCGTCCATGTGCTGTCATATATGATCCTCGTAACATCCTTCCAGATGTAGAAAATGAGACACAGAGATGCTAAAACTTGCCATAAAATACTCACAGCAGGTAAGTGGTTAGGTTGAGATATATATCCAGGTTAAATAAATCTAGAGTCTCTGCTCTTAACCACTGTATAATTTCTGGAAATGCAGTGAGTTAATTGGTTCTCACTTTGTTATCCAGAGGGTGAAGCCTAAATGGCATCGCCATACGTTCACCTAGTTGAAAGTTCTTTGTCTTTTCCTCAGTAGGGTATTCAGGCAAGTACTTAAC